CCAGCTCACGCTCGATCACTCTTACTCTCTTTGTTTCACTCCCTCTATCAATCTATCTAACTCCCTCTCTCTCTCTGTCTCACACTTTTTCTATATTTCTATATATCTATCAATCACATTCTCCCCGTCTCTCTCTCTCTCTATCCATCTCTCTTTCACTATGTTTCTCTCTCCCATTCTTCCTCTCTCTCACTGTCTCTTTCTCTCTCTCTATCTGTATGTAAGTAAACTGATATTGGCCAATTATGAAGCTTTATCTCTGCTCTTAATCAACTCTTTTAATCTTTGACCCACTCTCGCTCTCTATCTTTCACTTGGTCTCTTAACACATTGCTTTCTTTGCGATTCTCATAAGGTAGGTAAATTGGTATGGGTCAACAATTATGCGTTATCAGCACTTTAATCCACGCTCTATCTCAGTCTCTCACTCATGCTTTAACGAAGTTCAGAATTTTACAAGATAACAAATCTTATCTTGTAAAATTTTGAACTTACTTTTATTTATATATATAAATTTTATATATATATATATATATATATATATATCAATAATTTCGCTATAGCACAAAAACTTGATCGCAAAACATTGACAAATATATTTCGAGCAATTACAATCGGCTCCCAGGCAATCAGCGAACGACAAGAAGAAGAAAAGAGTTGCAACAGCTATCAGAATCGATTGGTAATCAAGTTCTATGCAAATCTGTCAGGTTTGTGGGTTAATGAACGGATGTCTCAAGCAGCCATCGACTTGACACAGACAATCAAGTGCTGACGCCTCGACTCGGCCATGAGAAACGACTTTGGCTGCCGTTGATTTGCTTTCAGCTTATGGGTTTCTGCTCGTTTTCTTCTCATATTTATAGTTGTTGTTGCTGTTGTTGCTTTCTATACTTGCCAAATCGTGGCCCCTTGGTCTAGGCTGTTGAAGTCGGCCTCTGTGAGGAATTTCCGTTACACAAACAAAGCGCCAAAAGGCAGCCACAGCCACAGCCACAGTAACTGCAACTGCAACAGCAACCGCAGCCGGCGGCTGCTGCCGCTGGACATGATGCGAACTGGTCTTGACTTCCGGCCGGGCTGCCATCGAGTGGGGCAGGCCTTGGCGAGGCTGGCTGATAGCGCAACGCCTCGCAATAATTACGCCGCCTATAATAACGGGTTTACTTTGGTCATCTCTATATGCGACAAGCACCCAAGCGCCCAGACTTTATGCCAAAAAAAAAAAAAAAAATAAATAAAGAAAAATTCATATAGTTGCGTCGCCGTCGCCGTCTCCGTCGACGTCAGCGTCAACGTTGGCCGCAACGCAAACCGGCTCCCACGCTCTGTGCTAATTTGAGCTCCACTTCTGCTTTCTGTCTTTCGGTTTCAGTTTCTTCGTCTCTTTCGAGGCGTTTATTTTGGTTTTTATTATTCTTGGTTGGCCCCTCTCCTCTTCGCTGCTTTTATATTTTGTTTCACTTTGTTGTTGCTATTTTGTTGGTATTTATAAATATTCGTACAGGCTGTGGCCTTTCTGCATTGGCCAAAAACCTAGCAGCAATTGCCAGCCAGCACTATGCAAATTTTATGCGCTCGAAATTCAAGTGGAAAATGCCGAAACGAATCCGATTTAGCCGACAATTGGAATGCGCTATAAAATGTTGAGATAACAACAGCACGAATTCGATATCAAAAGTAATTGCGACTACAATGATAATGGTATTCTAATTATGTTGAACAGCAAGTTGATAACGAAAAATATCAAAACTACAAGAATGAATTCCTGAAAGAAATACATTCCCAAATATATGTATTACTCTTCTTCTTCAGTTTTGTACAAAAAAAAAAAAAAAAAAAAAAAAAAAAAAAAAACGGAAATCTAAATAAAGCAAAAAAATGTTTATTTAAATATTTTTACGATTATTTAAGAAATATATACCTTTAAAAAAATATATTTACTATTATATAATTATAATAATTATTATTTAATAAATATTTATATATACATATATATATACATAAATATATATATATATATATATATATATATATATATATATATATATATATATATATATATATATATATATATATATATTCATAAGACTATTTTTAAAAAATATATTAAAATTAATATTAAGAAAAAATTATTATTATTTAATTTAAATTCTTTTTTTGCGTGTAGAAAACTTAAGAAGCGTAAAAAAAGTTTACATTAGGTTTAGTGAAAAAAATGTCGTTGTCCATTAAAATAGTAGTTTTTCGTACAAATATTAGTGACTAGTAAAAATATTTTTTAAAAATTAGTCTCCCTTTAGATATTAAGTTTTAACTAAATTTAATTGTTCATGAAAATAGTAGAGGCTATTGAAACAGAAGGATATTAACAGCAATTGAACATTAAGCAAATTTCAGGTATATTATATATGATAAATATTATAGGACATAGAATAGGTCTAAGCTCTGTATAAAGAAAAAAAAGCTAGCTTTAAGCTAAAGGTAAAAATTGGGAAGCAAAGCATATATTGAACACAATATTTTAGGACTATTTTGAATTGTACATTTTTTATTTTTATTGTATCCATGAAAAGCTTGAAGGTAAAGAATTTAATGATATGCTTTCTTAAACTGTGCTTAGGTCGATGCCTGTGGCAAGAGCTGTTGAGAACTCTTCTCTAACCATTCCCCATAAGTTTTTGATCGGAATCAAATTCAGTCTCCGAGTCTGGCAATTATCCTACGACAATTACAAAGGCATTTACTTACTGGCATATATGTATATAGAAATACATATAGATCTTTATAGTAAAAGTTCCACTCTAATTTCCCATAATTTCCTTTACCTTATTTCTCTTTACCTATCCCTTTCCCTTTCCCTTTCCCTTTCGCTTTCTCTTTGTCATTCTTTGTGCACTCCTAGAGCTATGCGTGTCTCTAATTTGCTCAGGCTTTAATAGCCCCCATTTATGTGGCACACGTGTTGCAAGCTGCAGCCCAGCACGCATACGCCTCATTGCACGCTTAATGTGCAGCGTGCAGTGTCGTTTTATACCTCAATATGTAAATTGAAAGGAGAAAAAAGGCCTTAAACACATGGCTTAGCGTGTAATGTGCACAACACACACTCAAGCACTTAAGCATACACGCACACACCCACACACACACACACACACAGACACAACATGTAGACAGACTAACCAATTGAGCAATTGCCACAGCAAACAAATTCAAATTGAAAATGTGGGCAAAGCAGCGCAAAAAAAAATGAAAAAAAAAAACTCACACAGAAGAGTGAAAAACTAGAGAGACAGACAAACAGACTGGGAGAGAGAGAGAGAGAGAAAATACATATATATAAACGACAATCACCGAGTTTCTTGTTTGAAGTACAAACAAAACTTCAATTGGCTGCGACTGCAATTTCAATTTAGGAATCATAAAATTAAAAGTAAAATAAAAAAAAAAAATAAAGAAAAATTGAAAAGCAAGTTGAAAACTGAAGCTTAAATACTCTATATAGATAAGAAGTACAAAAGCTTCTGTTCCATCGGCATTCCTGTGGGTATTAAGAGTGTTTATATATAGAAAATATATTTGTGTATATAATAATTTGATAAGCTGCAACGCAATACGAATAATTAGGAATTTTTCGGAGAGGTCGGACTGAGACGCTAGAGAAGATGTAGATATAAGCATTTGTAATTATATATATAATGAATATATCATATATATGTAGATACATATATATTTCTCTATGTAATTTAGTAACTTCATGAAGCAGAGTTAGGTTGATAGTTTAGAGTTGTGCATATAAGGATCGGATAATATATCAAGATGATTGAGATAGTTGAAGTATAAAAGATATAGCTAGTTGGAAAAATATATAGATATACTACATATATGTACATATATTTATATTGTCAATATGATATAAAACTCAATTTTAGATCACACTCAAGCAATATTCATGGCAACCTAATTAGGCTATTTTATTTACAGAAAATATATAAAAAAGTTAGACTTTAGTAAGACGAATAAAAAATTATATGCATATAGTACAATATTATTATATTGCTCAGTAGTTTGATGCAGCTAAGATATGTTCATGGATCAGAAATCACCAACCAACAATTTCATTGTTAGATATAAGAGATAGGTTAGTGGTGTATAGGACTGGGAGATCTATGGACTATATACAGTGAGTAACATTAATATTCGTTTTATTTTATTTTTCACTGAATTTAAATTAAAAAAGTCTAAATGTAGATTGAACAATATCCCTTCCGATGAGGCATGTATAGATATTATATGTTTAACATAACTAACAAAGATTATACATAAACCGGAAAAGAGGGTGAAAAATAAAAAAACCTAATATTAATGTTACTCACTGTAGGTATGTACAATAAATATATATGCATATCTGATAAATGTAGTAATAGATCAAAGCTTCAAAGCTTAGACAAATTCAGCTCAGCTATTGAAGCTGATCAGGTCTAGATATATGTATATATACATATTTAATTCAATATATGTACCTCACAAGCATTACATATTACCTGACTAGCTAAGCATGCCCAATTGTAAGGGCATTTGAAATAATATGTATATTTTGCGTTCGTGTATTTATTATAAAATTAAATTAAACGAGCTTGGGGACTTATTACGGCGACACTGGATATGGGACAACTGGGGACGAATGGATAGATGGACAGCTGGACATTGGACAGCTGGACATTGGACACTTACCGCAATGGCATCCATCACAGCATTAACCATGTTGTTCTTGCTAGTCGATGTTGTTGCGGCAAGTTGTTGTTGTTGGGTTGGTTGTTGTTGTTTCGTTTGTGTTGTTGCGCTTCTTATGATTTATTTGACAGTCATGCAAACATTTTGCACAATTTCAATTCGTTGCTGTTGTCTTTGACTGCTGTTGCTGTGCCTCCGCTTCAGCTGCTGCTGCTGCCTCTGCTGCCTTTGCTGCCTCCGCTGCTTCTTCGGCTTTGGTCTCTGCCTCCGCTTCGATTTCAGTTTCAATTTCGCTCTCAGCTCCGCGTCCTTTCGCGACCCGCGCGCTTCTCAATTTCCAAACTGTTGACATTTAATTAACGTGCTCGATTTGCCTATGCGGCAGGTGGGCAGCTCCAAGCCCCACACACACCACACACACACACAGACAGAGTCACACATACATAAGCAATGTGATTGGTACGTGCCGGGCAGCTGTGGATGAAATAAAAAGATTGACAACGAGTTAGTGCCGGGATTTATAAATACTCGAACTTATTTATTGCTGGAGTGTGAGCGTTTTAGAGACTGTGAACATAGCGAACGCGTTAACAGCGCTGTTAAAGCGCATTAACATTTCGAATAACAGCCCACTCAATTGCCAAGTGTGCGCAGTTGAAGATCAAATAGCTATAGAAATATGTCGATATACAAGCATTTATTAATTGTCAATATATTATTGAAATGTAATTTAATAAAATTTAAATAATAAGTAAGCTTAATAAATATTATTTATTTATAAATTTAAGAAATATTTTTTATTTAAAAATATATAAACATGTAAATATTTATTTAAATACATATCTTTTATTTTTTTTAAACCTTCATAAGTATTTATTAATTTTTTTTTTATTAGCTTGTAGCTTATTTCAATTATAGTGTAAAGATTTTTTTTCCTCTTAGTTAGGTATAAAAAACAAAAATATCATGAGATAGTATACATATATATATCAGGCATATATATGTACTACATATATATATTTTTATTTTTAAATATTTGAAGGAAAATGGGAAATGGGGTGTTGGCTTTTCATATGCCTTCATACTAACATAATACTATAATAAAAACAGATACTTTAGCGAATACTATGCAGAGAAATGTTGGTAAATACTAGACAATCCATATCTTGAGAAAAAACAAGTCTATTTGTAATGGTCTATTATCACATCAAGACAATTTTATTGTACAATAAGTGAAGCTGGAGGTGACGTAGAGTAAATCTTAAATTTGAGATAAATTTTCATGTGAGCAATATAGTTTTAGATCACACTAATTCGAAGACCTAAAGATTCTTTTATCTCTATTTAAGATGGTTTCATGACTTTTAGACTTTCTATGTTGCTATATCAACAGTTCTCGTTGATATTCCAAACTCTCTATGTATGTTTAGATTAGAAACATACCTTTATGAGTTCACAAGGCTTACAAGGCAACAGTTTCGATTGAATTCTCTCTTTTGTATTATTGATGTATTGACTCCAATTAATTGCATATCGTAGCTCCAAGTCTGTTTTTGAAATGTTTTGTATAATAATAGTTTTTACTCAAGGCTCAATGTGAAATGAAATCATGAAATGAGAAATTCGAAATGGTTGCTCCGTTTTAAAGAAAAAGAAAAGGCTACTTTATCAACATAAAAGGACTTCAAATTTGAAATATATATTGCTGGAGATAAAGGAGGGTCAAATAAGACTAAAGACTATAAAGACTATGTAACTAATGCTCAAGTTCTTCATTGATTTATCTTACTTTATAAGTATATGAGCCTCTAAGAGGCGTGTTAAATGGAAAAGAAAATTATTTATTATTATTATTAAAATTTATATATATTATATTATTTATTATTATTGTGTTTACAGCTTCGACTGATAAGCTATTGTAGATTCCCTTTAAATAAATTATTTAATAATCATAGTTGTCGAATTATTTAATTGCATATAATTCCTCTTTCCATAAAATTTACGACTCATTTGCGCGTCTAAAAAATTTTCCAAATTGATTTTCTCTCTTAATAAAATCGAATTGGACTGCAATGCCATCCAATCAGACAGCAAACAGATATCACACAGAGCGTATTAGTTAGCTGATTGGCTCTAAAAAAAAAAATGTTAGTTATGATTTATGAAGACCATATGCTCATTATGAATTTGTGAAGTGCTGGCCAATTGGCCTCACACACACACACATACACACATACCGGCCGCAATAAACCGAATAAAAAGTGAATGTATCTTGCAGATACTCGTACTTTTAATTAACAAATGAAAAAAAGGCACACGGCTAACGGTTAACGGAGCAATCGCACTGTCCAAACATTGCCGAGATGTTTGACGATGTCTGTCCGTTTGTTCATCTGGTCTGCCGCTCTCTATGTCTGGATGTGTCTGACTCCGTCTGGCTGTCCCACGGTCCGACTGTCCGACTGTCTGTCCCATTCGCATTGCGCGACGCATGAGAAAAACAAAAACAAAATGTGTAAAACTTGTTTCACGTATTTTCCACAATTTTCCGCATTTTATGCTCATTAATTACAATTTCATTTTCGTTTCCATTTCCATTTGCATTTACATAACCATTTTACTCATTTTCTTGCTTAATACCAACTTTATACATTTCTTTGCTTTTTTTTATTTTTTATTTTTTATTTATTTTATTTTATTTAATTTTTTTTTTTTTTTTTTTTTTTTTTGTTAACCGCCTCAGCCTGTTCAAAATTCCTCAGCGGTTGACGGAAGTTGAATTGCAAATTAAAGTGCGCACGATTTACACGTTTTGATAACAGACAACAGACAAAATCAACTTGAACTGCATTCGAACTACGCACACTTTAAAATCAGCCAACAGACAAAATATATATGCGAGTGGCTTATAAGAAATGGACACATGTTAAACGTCCAGATACCCTGTAAAATGTTTTTTTTTTTTTTTTGCTATGGCTACAAGTTAATGCAGTTTTCTTAATAAGTTTTTCGATCACTTTTAAGAGTATTCGCTGGCTGTCTTGAAGAGTATCTCAAATGTTTGATTGTTGATGAATTTCTGCATTTTTTTATATTTTATGTTGGTATATCCCTTAATTGTGCTAACAATTGTTGTAACTTTTATTTTTGAGTAAAAAAAATGGAGCGAGGCTGATATTTTATTCAAGCTACTGAAGTGGTTCATGAAATTACATTAAAGTAAGATAAGATCTAAGATCTAATAATATTCAGTGTACACTCTAAGAAAGAACTATAAAAAAAATAAATAAAAAAAATAAATAAAATAAATAAATAAATAAATAATTTCATCAACTAAAATCTTCTGTAAATAAAAATATGCCCAGTTTATAGCTCTTTTTCCAGGGCATTTTAATTCAACCAATTAAAAACAAAAATGTCACAGAATAAAAAATAAATATAAACAAAAATAACAACAAAAATGAAAAAACGTCAACAATAAAACGAAAAACGCGTGAACGAACAAAAAAAGACGCGTGAAATCGTCGCAGCTGCCGCTTCGCTTTGCCACTTCGCCTCGCAGTCGCTGCGCAGTCGCAGAGCAATCGCAGCTCATTACTGAAGCTTAAATGCATACGAAATGAGATTTTGTCTCGGGAGTTTTATTTATTTAAGCTCCATTGTGTGTATAAATTGTTTATTATATGATTTACACACTATGCACATTGCCGAGTGCTTTGAATTTGTCATGAGGCGCATTGCGGTTCGTGTTTTCGTGTGCAACAACAGATCCAAATCTCGATGGAAAGTGAAGCAAATAAGTTCAAAATCTTGGTCGAAATTCAAATTGTATAATCTACATACACTTATCATGTTATTACTAAATTTGGTCATTGCCCGAGAACTATGCGTAAGCATGACGATTATGGAATGCGGAACACATCGCACATGTGAAACAATGGAAAGTGAATCATGGAAATTAACTACATGGCGGGTCAGCTCTATAAGCGTGGAGAGCACTTTGGAATGGGAGTAAAGGAACAGTTTGGAATGTGGAACATTTGGAAAAAAAATGAATGAATATAGAACACATGTGAAACAATGGAAAGTGAATCATGGAAATTAACTACATGGCGGGGCTCCTCTATAAGCGTGGAGAGCACTTTGGAATGGGAGTAAAGGAACATTTTGGAATGTGGAACATTTGGAAAGAGAATGAATGAATGAATATAGAACACATCGCACATGTGAAACAATGGAAAGTGAATCATGGAAATGAACTATATGGCGGGTCTGCTCTTTAAGCGTGGGGAGCACTTTGGAATGGAAGTAAAGGAACATTTTGGAATGTGGAACATTTGGAAAACAAATGAATGAATATAGAACACATGTGAAACAATGGAAAGTGAATCATGGAAATTAACTACATGACGGGGCTGCTCTATAAGCGTGGGGAACGCTTTGGAGTGGCAATAAAGGAACATTTTGGAATGTGGAACATTTAGAATGAGAAGTACTGAATGAATATGGAAACATTGCACATGTGAAACCATGGAAAGTGAATCCTGGAAATGAAGTAGGTGGGGCGATCTGCTCTTTTGGCGTAGCGAACATTTTGGAATGAGAACAAGAGAGGGCGGGACGCGTATAATGCACATGTGGAACGTTTGGAATGAGAATAGAGGGGAGTTGGTGCATATGAGTGTGCAATAAAAGCAACGGAACAGTTGGGAATGAGAGCAAGTTAGGGTAATTAGTTAGTGGTGATATTAAGAAGAAATCGGAACAGTTGCATATGAAACAGTTTGAAACAAGAACAACAGAAAGATGAGACCAAAATGTGCAATAAAAGTGTGGGGGATAGTTTGGAATGAGAAAGAACAGCGGAAAGAGCATTTAAAAGCGTGCACAAACGCAAGTGGAATAGTTTGGAATGAGAACACAGCCAGGGTGAGGTATGTAAGCAAGCAAAAAGTAGAACAGACTGGGCACGAATGGAAGAGTGGAACATAAACCTGAATTGTAATAGTTAAATTTGACGAAATAAAATAAAACTGAAACAAAACGAGAGCAAAAAAACCGTGTCCCAATAGAAACAATGGAAGGGAGCAGGAAGATTTCTATAATAATTAATATGAAACTAAAGCATAAGCCAATAAGAATGATGGAAACAAAGCAGTGCCAAGAGAAAGTCAAGGTCAGCGTTATATGCCTCCGCAATGAATGTAGACATTGTGGAACGAAACTGAAACAGAAAATGAACTTCAACTGTTCCCAATTGCAAAGCTTTGTTTCTCATATGGAAAACCTTGGTAAAGAAACAAAAAATAAAAGACGCCCCATGTGGAAGTCTGGTATTTTCACAGCATTGAACAATCCAAATATTTATTAGACAAAGAGCATTTGGGCTTCGCATCTAGGGCAGCTAGTTTTACCAACTTGTTGATGTATCTTGTTTATGTTTACCATTTGGTGGACCGGCTCATTAGCAAAAA